TGTACGAAATTAAAGCACATTGTTATTGAGTAGCGTGAATTCAGCGGAAATGGACTCTATGGCCCTATGACAGCAATATATAGTAACGAAATGGGTTTTGCCCATTAGATGATTTTTACTTTTTTTTATTGTTTTGATTAAAACCGAGATACATAAGTGCGCGTGGATAGCGTGAATTCAGCGGAAATGGACTCTATGGGCCTATGACAGTGATTTGTCGTAACGTGCCCATTGTATGATTTTTACTTTTTTTTAAAATTGTTTTGATCAAAACAACCCCCCCCCCCCACGTGCCCATTATATGATTTTTACTTTTTTTTTTTTAATTGTTTTGATTAAAACACCCCCTCCTCACCCACCCACACACGTGTGTGTGTTTATATATATTTCACTTTTTATTTAGTGAAATAATATTTATTAGTATGGAAGTCATTTTTTTTCAAAATCTAACAAATTATTTCACTTGATCAAAAATGAAAATTACGCACACACATAATATATATAATGAAAAAAAAAAAAGTTCTTTATAGACATGAACAAGAAGCTTATGTTAGCGAAACAAGTCTATCCTATTATGTTACCAAAAATAAAATTCAAAATATTTAAATAATGCACAAATAAGCTAACCAATAATAATGAAAACACTTCACTAATATAAATGCCAAATAAACAATAATCCAATTGTCATTGGTATTACTCATGGAAACTATTAACACTTATAAGTTTTTTATCCAAGTATTAAGCGAACTAGTCATCGGATGAATTTTATATTAATATAAAAAATTTAAGTTTTAAAATCATACTCGTTAGAAATCTTAGGAATGTTAAATAATAAGTTAAGTGTACTATAAAGGAAATTTGAAAGTATTTTCAAGTGGGATTTTTATCCCATGTTGAAAAGGCATGGAAAGAAGAGACGACTTATAAAGTGGATCTTTAGCAAAACTTTCAAATACTTGATCGAAAGAATTAGAGAGAAAACCGAGTTAATATATATATATATATATATTATGATCTGTTGGATTGTGACTCGTTAGAATCTAATAGTTATAACTCGTTTAATTATGATTGTTAAAATCGACAATCACATATGTTATGAAAGAGTGTCAAAACTAACGAGTAAACTATAGCTTGTCAATGACAACCAACAAGTGACAATCAATAGGCGTTAATTAAATAAACGATAATTGTCATTCATCCATCTGCTAGTATTCACATTCATCATCCTCTATAGTTCTTCCAATTAATATTATGTCTTGAGTGCTATCTTGTGGCCATTCATCAATTTCATTTACCATAAATTCATTCAATTAAGCATTGTAAAAGATTGCAGTATTGCCATCGTTCTATGAAATTTTCAATTTTTATTCATATTGCAAATCTTAAATCTTAGTGTTTGATTATTTAAATTTATTGTTTGTTGCTTCAATATTGTTATTAAAGTTGCATACTAGACTAGAAAGTTTGAATTTTGCTTTAATTCATAGTTTATTTCTAGTTATTGCCCTCAAATCCTACAATTCAACTAGTTTGGGAAGTCAAGATTTCTCTGCAAGGGGTATCCAAGACTCGTTGAAATCCTTTTTATTTATTTAATTTTGGTTTTTTTACAACCTCAAACCCTAAAAATCTCACAAATAATAGTTGTAATTTACATCTACAGAGTTGATTTGGTTCATCTATTCGTAACATTGAGAGATTGACTATCCTACAAAATGCTTTCCAATCATTTTTTAATTTTGTTACAAAATCCTCTTAGTTGAGACCGACACAAAAGAACCCAAAAAAAAAAAAAATATATATATATATATATATATATACTCCTTTTTTTTTCTTTCATAGAATACCTTTCTATACATATAATTGAATACTCAAAAGTACAAAACATTATTACAAGCCAATAGTTTTAGAAGAAAACTAGTCGGTTGTTTGCGCAACGTTATGGGTCGGATTGAACAAAATTATTATAAAATTTTATAATTTTTAATTAAAATCTTGTATTTAGTTAATTTTTCTTATTTTTTTCATAAATTTTCTATCAAAAAAATACAATTCATTTTTCTTTATGCATTGATTCTTAAATACAAACCTATAATAATTTAAACTAAAATATTAGTCTAAGATTCAAAAAAAATTAAAATATATTTTTTAATAAGATTCTATCCAAAAAATAAATCGAAAATTAATGTATAGAATTGCATAAAAATTAACAAATAAAAAAATAATTTTTTATTCTTATTTAATGCTAATGAGAAGTTAATTTTTTAAAATTATACGCATTTGATTTATATATAATTATTCATAAAATAATTAATAATATTAGTATAAAAAACTATCTTTGAATTGCTTGGTGATTCTTTTAAACAAGTATTTCTATCATTTTATTTCAAAGAAATTGATTTTATATTATTAAAAAAATAATAGTAAATGATTGATATCATATGTGTATATGCATAGTTAATTTCTAATAAAATCGATGATTTAATTTTTTTTTATGCACTATTACTATACTTAGCGGGTTGAGAGTATGTAGCAAAAAGAAAAAAACATAAAAAAAATATTAGAAATAAATTATCCGAAACATATCACATATATTCTACTATTGCGAGACTCGCACGAAAAAAAGATACTGCTAAATTCACCAACCAAATTTTTATTCTTGTCATTTTTTTATACAATTATTGATACATCATTCATCAATTATTAAAAACAATTACATAATACATTTAGTGGAGGGTGTATTAGTAATTTTTTAGAAAAAATTGGTGGAAATAACAATTTGGTTGGTGAATTTAGCAGTAAAAAAAAATTGATCTCTCATAATTTTTTTAAAAATCCATAATAAAAAATCAATAATTGAAAAAAATAAAAAAAGAGAAGAAAAAAAATGGCTAGGGAGCAGGCCACCCCCTCCCAAAAAGAAGAAGAAGAAAGAAACTAGACAAGACGTTGTCCACTCTCTAGGCAGCAGACAATGTGTCGCATGTCTATAATTTTTGGTGAGTAGTAGTCCGTCGAACATGTCACTAAAAAATAGATTTTTTATTTCCAGTCTCCATAAACTCAAATTCAGCCATATTTTTGTCTAAAAATACCTCAAAATTATAGAAATAACGCCCACAACTCATTTTGAATCTCAAACTCATTTTAATACACACAAAACCCATAAGAATTCAAAATATTTTTAAGTTTTGATCTACTTCTAATTATTTTATGGTTTATGACTACTAAAAATAAATTCAACTCTTCAAGATGAACAAGTTGGTAGTGATTTTAATGCTTGAGGTAGTTGGAATGGGTCTCGTCATTTATTTCTCTCTCCTCCAAGCAACCTACGACCATGATGCAACATATATAAAGTTCAAGCTCAAAATAAAAGTTTTCGTAAAATGAGCGACCAAAGTATAAAAAGACAGACAAACTTGCTTTAAATGTTGGAATGCACATTGTAATTGAGTTTGACAATGCTAATGATTGTGCATGAAGAGTAAAAGAAGTAATTATTTGCACAATATTTTTGTATTTTTGTTTTACTTTTATTTGTAAAACTTAGAATAATAATTTGACCGCACGTTAAAGAACGAATCATTTGACCTTGAAAATCGGTTACCAATAGGAATGGCAATGGGATGGCCTCCACTCCGTCCTTGAAAATTTTATACCATCTCCGTTCCATACCTTGCGTAGAATAATATTTCTCATACCATTCTTGCTTCAAATGAAAATGGAGATCTTCGTAAGGCACCGATGTCTCGTTTAATTTTTATTTTCGTTTTATATCGTTTTATTTTATTATTAAATTTTAAACTACAGTAAAAACATGATAGTTCATATATAAAATAAATCTTAATAATTAATAATCATAGATTTTATATAAAGTATAATTATAATTTTAAAGATAAAGCAGAGCAAACAAGAAAGGACAAGTAAATACCATCTCTATCCCATTCACATTCAAAATAAATACGTCCCGTCTTCATTCGTTTTTCAATCAATTCAAGAATCTTTACATTAATCGAAACAGGGCAAGAGCGGACTCCATGGAAACGGGACAAATTATCATCGTCATGAGATCCCACCAAATTGATCTATTATTCTTAATTAATTAACAGGCTTTCGTACTGAGTACATGACTTACTTGAACTAGAATGTTTTTTGTCTCCGACACTGACACTGCAGTGCAATCATTAGATTGGACGTGCAAGAAAAGCATTAATATGTAAATCACCATGAGGTTATAAGTTTTACGGGAGCAGTGAAAATAAGGCGAAAGAGAATCAAACTTGTATTCAACTTTAATTTATTTAAAACTCAGTTTATATATATATATATATATATATATATATAAATAATTAATTTATTTTATAATTTTCAGTTATTAATTTTTAATATTTTGATATGAAGTTTTCAACACACATTAGGAAAAATTAAATTCATTTTATAAAAAAATTACAAAATTTTTTAAATTTAGAAATTATATTTGTTTATTTTTAAACATAAATCTTATTGAATGATTTTTAGCACAAATTTATTTATATAATTGTTATTTTTTAAAATAAATAATAAAAAATTAAAAAATACACTAAATTTTAAAGATCCAAAGACAAATTAAAAATTTTAGAACATTTTCAAAAAGACTAAATCGGAAGGAAGGGAGGTTTGTTGTCAACAGCTCTGCCGGCCGCCCCGCCCCTAGGGCAAAAGCTCATGAAATGCAAACTAGGATCCAGATCACATGCAAGAGTTTTTTTTTTCCTTTTCAGATACGAGTTCAAGCACGATGACTGCAATAAGTGCCAATTTTCAATTCTTAAAGTTAATCTTTTTGTTTTTTGAAAGGAGATCACTTGCTAAGACATGAGAACAAGAGGAATCTGATCAAAATCATACAAAATGGGTTGTGGAGATCAATTCCTAGCAAATGAGATTGAATCATGAACATTGATATATTAGCGTAATGCACGAGTCAACGGAAATTAATGAAAAGACAGTAGGCAAGAATGGAAGGTGAAACACTTTTTTTCAGTTATGGAAGGAATGGCAGGTGGGAATTAAGAGAGGTAAAGTATTGGCTAAGCAAATGGGCCCTCGAAGAAGTTGGAACACTGCAATTACATGCAAGGTGTTCAAAAGCACATTGAGCAATGATCTGCATCATACAGCCTGTTAGAGAGACAAAGATGGACCGACCAGCTGATGGGAATCTTGGCCCTCTTTATTTCTTTGAGAAAAAGGCAAAAATGTCCCACATACCAAACCATGGACAGGACCATATTAGCAAACATTTGTAGATACAAGATGTTGCTGAAATTCTAGGCTCCAGGAACATCAATGGATCGAAGCTTGAGTTCATAACAAGGTATATACTTTTTCTTTCAAATAATTCCTAGAAATTAATGATCTTCTATATGTTGCTGAGAAATAGTACTTTTGCATCCGAATTAAGATTAGCATATGCCTTGTTACATAAACCTCTTGATGAGTATTTGGTATGAACCTAAAGAAAAATAGGTTATGTAAGGTCATTTTCATGCCTACATAATTTTTTCGCGCGCTCTTCTCAATAATTTTTTTTTTTTTGGGTACTAACGTAATGTGTCCTGTCAAATTTGCCACTTCAATGTTGACAATTTTGTTAATTATTTATATCCGATAGTGTTATCATGTCCCCCTCATAAATATCGTTCTAAAAGCAGTAATTCCTCTTTGCTATGGGAGTGTCAGGAGATCATTCTTGAAGCTTTGCAGAGAAGTTCTGAAATGGGATTTCTTGATCTTTTTGTAGTGGCATTAATGCCAGTTCTGAAAGTACTCTTGATTACTGGAACTGGCTTGTTTCTTGCACTTGATCGTGTTGATCTCTTGGGATCGAATGCACGAACCTTCTTAAATAATGTGAGTTCGATACATGTGTTTGCAGCGTTCTCATATGTTTTAGGCAGACTTTTTCTAGGCTTTCATGTCATCACAACAGCGAATTTTCTGTGTACATGCAGCTTGTATTCTACGTGTTCAGTCCATCGCTTGTGTTAAGCCAGCTTGCTGAAACTATTACTCTTCAAAGTTTGGGTACCTTGTGAGTGATTTTGCTGTAAATTTTCTTTTCTTGCTTCTAACAACTCATACATACTTGAGCATTTCTGATGTTAACTTCGGGCATACTACTTTGATGTGCTGTTTGTAGATGGTTCATGCCAGTGAATATCCTTCTGACATTCATAATCGGCTCTATACTTGCTTGGATTCTCATTAAAATCACCAGAACTCCACCACACCTCCAAGGCCTTGTCATTGGTTGTTGTTCTGCTGGAAATTTGGGGAACTTGCTTCTCATTATTGCTCCTGCAGTCTGCGAAGAGCCAAATAGCCCATTTGGAGATTCAACTGTCTGCTCTAATTATGGAATGGCATATGCTTCCCTTTCAATGGCTGTAAGATTTTTTTTTTTTCATTCTGTTACTCAAGAAAATCCTTCATCTAACACTATAATGAATCAACTTTCAGCAAATGTTTTTAGCCTCCTCGATTGAAGCATGTATCCATAGGATTCAAGATGCTGACTCTAATATTTAATTTCTTTTTTGCTGCTGTGTATTCTGATTCTGCAGGTTGGAGCTATTTATATATGGACATATGTGTACATTATCATGAGGATATATTCAGATAAGATTCCTGAAGTTATCGTTACAAATGAATCGATAACGGGTTCTGGAAGTTACACAGAAGCCTTGCTTCCTCCAAGCGACAACCTTAGCTCTAATGGCCATTCAGTTCAAGCTGAACTTCCTCGAACTATGTCCGAGGGAAATGTGAGATTTCCTTAGTATGTTATTACAAATGCTATTTATGTTTTTTTATGCAGAAAGAAGCTAACTTACTATAATAAAAGGTTACATTTATGGGGAGGACTTTTCTGGGAGTTAAGAAATTTGCAGCAAAGATCAACCTGAAGATGGTGTTTGCACCGTCTACAATTGCTGCCGTAAGCTAGAAATGCATATTATCTACATTAGATCTTGCCCTCGTATTGGTTCTTGATTTTGTCAGAGCCTAATCAACTATGTCATCACTTTGTTTCTTTTCTCTAATTTCCTTCAGATTTGTGGATTTATAATTGGGACAGTCTCTCCAATCCGCAAGGTGCTGATTGGTGACAATGCTCCTCTTCGAGTGATTAATAGCTCTGCAGCTTTGATGGGGTAACAAATCCTAAAAAGGAATATGTTAAGCTTTAGATTATTAAAATTAAGTCTTTTTTTTTTTTTTTTGGTTGAGGAATTCACCTTGAACTTGCTTGTATCATTTTCTGACCTGCAGAGAGGCAACAATTCCATGCATGACCCTGGTAGTGGGAGCAAACCTTCTTGAGGGTAATTTCCTAATTCATCTTAATGCTTATTCTCCTTGAGATAGCCTGATTCTGATTCTGATTTCCTCCTAAGATTCGCCAAATCAAATTTACATTCTCATCATCATTAACCTCTGTTTTGTACTGTTTCAGGTTTGAAACGATCAGGAATAAACGTATCAGTTGTTGCAGGGATTGTAGCAGTGCGGAACATTTTCTTGCCACTTATAGGCATTGGTGTTGTTAAAGCAGCAAAGCATTTCGGCATGGTTGGCTCAGATTCTTTGTATCAGTTTATTCTTTTGCTTCAATTTGCACTTCCACCTGCCATGAGTATTGGTACGGCAACTTCTTCAATCCCCATATCTGGCTAGTCACTGAAATGTTTATGTTTCTTTGCTGTTCAAAGTCTGCTATTTTTTCACCTTATACTCCAGGCCAAAATGAACGTGGAATCTTAACTAAAAATCTTATTTTTAAAATTTTTTTTCTAAATATTTTCTTACCTTAAAAATTTTTAATTAAAAAATAAAAAATAAAAGGAACAAAGTGATCAAAATAAATAAAAAATCGTAATCTGAAGAAATAATGTATATATATATAAAACAGATCAAAATGTAATGCTACGAAAATTTTATAATAGGTGCTTTTAAAAAGTTTAAAAACTATAAAAATAACACTATATAATAAAAGTAATATTACATATGAATATGTGTGAATAGTAAAAATAAGTCTAGGTGGATAATTATTGAAACAATGTCAATAAATCGAAAACCAACATCCTGTATAGTTTTGTTTTTGTTAGTAGTTAAACATGTTCTTATATAATAGTGTGTATGAATATGTGTGAATAGTAAAAATAAGTCTAGGTGGATAATTATTGGAACAATGTCAATAAATCGTAAACCAACGTTCTGCTATAGTTTTGTTTTTGTTAGTAGTTAAACATATCCTTATATAATAGCGTGAGTCTTTAATCTGTTTTTATGTTTATAATTATATCTATTAGTTTTTGAATAATATTTAAATCTTTAGTTAGTCATTTGATCAAAATTTTCGATTATAAATAATTTTTTTCATTGAAATACCTCTGATCAAAATAGAAAAATAAAAATAAAAATTTGAAAGAATTCAAAAAATAAAACATGCATATCATATGATTTTAAGTGATTTTCTTTTATTTATTTATATTTCAATCAGCATTTCGGTAAATGCTTTTTATTTATAGTAAAAAAATTGATCAACAGTACAGATTAAAGAATTAAATATTATTTAAAAATATAATAAATTCAATTAAAAACATAAAAACTAATTAGACAATCAAGTTTTTATATAAGAATAGATTGTACTATTTAACCTAGTTATTTTCATCCTGCTAAAGGTACCTAACATGGTGTAAAAACAGATTAGGCAATCAAGATATTATATACGAATAGATTGAAATATTTAACCTACTGATAAAGTTATTATTCATGCTACTAAAGGTCCCTAGCATGCTTTACTTATGGCTAGCAAATTTCATTTTTCATGTTTTTCTTTTTGGCAACAAGAACGTAAGTGTATAAATAGACCGATACCAAATCCGACAATGACCATTACTCTTTTTTTATCTACACATGTCTTGAAGGACTCCTATCACATCCATGTCGTAGAGTATCGTTATAAATAAAGATAATCAGCTGTAGATATATCACATTTTAAAAATTTTCTGGCTTCCCAGAATTCCTGTTACTGTTTTCCAGAACTGTAGATTTGACAGCAGGGAAGAAATGATTCTGAAATGATGGGCTAGAGCGTCTCATGTGGAAAAGCATTACACGGTGTAAAATCGTTTAATAAAGAAGAGTCTAGGTTGTGTAGGGCTAATAGAAGTTGAAATTTTTATAGTTTTTGTTATATTTGGTATGTTTTTTGTAAAATAGTTTAGTTTTTTTTTTTAACTAAAAAGCATAAATTTATTTTGGTTAAAAATAATTTTTGATTGAAATAAAATTTTTTCATAAACTTGATTCAAAATTTTATTTTAATCAAGAGTTAAAAATTATGAATTATAGCTAATATTATAGTTTTTCAAAAAAATTATTTTGAACATTTTTACCAAATATACTTAGAAGTGATCATTCGGTTTTTAGATTTGTTTATTTTTTTTTCGATTAGTCGAATTGACTAAAAATAAAAACCTAACCGAATTGAAGTTCGGTTTTTCGATTAAAAAACCTAATTTTTTGGTTTGGTTTTTTGATTCTTGGTTAAAAACTGTTTTTTTATTTTTTTTCTGAATTTTGAATTTTCTCTTGGATCAAGCTGAAAAGCCACTTTTTTACATTTTTTTTCGATTTTCAAGAAATGCTAATAGCTTGAATTGAAGTTTTGGCAAAGAAAATCATAGAAAAATGCTATGAGATTTGGGTGTGTGTTAAAAAAAACACTAATTCGGTTTCGGTGGAAACCAAATTTTTTTTAAAAAATCAAACCAAACTGAAGTAATTTTGGTTTTTGATTTTGGTTTTTTTTCAAAATTTTTTGTATAAAACCGAATTGAAATTATTAATTTGATTCAGTTCGATTTTTCGATTTTAACTAAATAATACTCACTCTTAAATATGCTACTAACTTAAGAAGTTGTTTTAATTTACTTTTATTTTAAGTAATTTATGAAAAAAATTGGAATTATGATTTAAAATAAAAAATCATGTGAAATGTAATGAATTGTTTCTTATCATAAATTATTTTCCACTAACCTTTTTGGTATTTTCATGAACTTGACAGGGGCAATTGCACAGCTTTTCAAGGCTGGCGAGGGCGAATGTTCTGTCGTTATGCTGTGGTGTTATGTTGTGGCTACATTTTCTCTTACTCTTTGGTCAACCTTTTACATGTGGCTTTTGGAGTGATTTATATCATTCGTCCTGTGGTCCGGCAGAATTGAGGCCGCAAATAAACTTAAATTCATGAGTAAATTATAAATTAGTCTTTTTAGTTTCAAGGAACAAATTAAACAGTCCTTCTCACTAAAAAAGTATTATTTGATTCTTTAATCAGTTTTGAACATGCTTAATTTTGATATTATTTTTATTTGGTAAAATCTTTTATTTTTTCATCAATATTTCTATATTTTTATATTTTTTTCTATTTATTAAAACAAAAAATCAAAATAAATTAAAAAAAAGTAAAAATAATTAAACTACAAAAATATTTTAAAATATAAGGATTAAATTATTAGTTTATAAACAAAAGAAACTATTTAATTCGTTTGGTACTAATCCATAATTTACTCTTAAATTGATCACTGCGCACTTAAAAATAAAAAATAAAAAATAAGAGTAATCTATAAATGCCCTTGAGGGTTGGGGATTATTTTTATTTTCCTTCTGAACCACAGATTTTATTAATTATCTCCAGGAGGTTTCCGTTTTATCCCTTCATATGCTCGTCCTTTTCCATTAAATCTCCATTACTTTCATTTCCTGTGCTGATTTCTACCCGACATAATTAATTAGCGGAGGTTCATAGAATGATCTCTTAAATTTTGTAACATCCTCAAGGTTTGTAAATTTTTGCAATTACCTCCCTGTTTATGTAGCATTAATGAGATAGATAGAAGGATTGAAATGAAATGAAACTAAAACTTCGAGGGCGGTATTTAAACAGTTTGTAGTTTGGAATGGAAATTGACAGAATCCAAACCCTAGGAAGGTTGCCTACTGGTTTGCCAAACTGAGCGATTGATAGATTATAAAGCCTCTAGCCTAGCCCTTGACAGAATCCAAACCCCAAGAAGTTTGGTTTGCTAAAACAAGCACCAACCAAATGATAACCACGTTTGAAGAATATTTGTGGACCCAGGACATGATTATATATAATTATAGTCTCAGACAGTTCATCGGTTCTTGAGAAACGTTGGACCTAAGCAAAAGTCACTAAATTCTAATGCAAAATGCTCCCACACTGCTCTATTTGTTTTTTTTTGTTTTTTTTTTGTTTTTTAATACATAAACTAGATGAACAGATAAATTACTTATATATAAGGTAAAAAAAATTAGGTTTTTCACATCCATGTATATTTGGAAGAATGGCGGGACGATAATATTAAAATTAAAAACCTTAATATATTTCTGTAAATGAAATTAACCGAACGTAAATATGGGAGGAAAATTAGCTAAATGTGAAGGAATTTTGATTCCATATAGACAATGGGCACAGCCACACATCATAAGTACACTATTAACACGGTACATTCATAACGTGTAGGATGTTGTTAATTATTATAATCTGTGTCAAAATTAGTTAGTATTTATGGTCACGCATACTTCATATAACTCAGAGTCGTGTCCGCGAGAGTTTTTTTTTTTTTTTTTGCATTTAGATCTTATATTTTTTTATTTTTTTAATTAAAATCCTTTTTTTTCCAGTTTAATTTAAACTTTTTACGTTTTTAGATTTTTTGCTTCATATACTTTCTTGTAACGTCATCAATCATTAATTAGTGATCAACATATAATATTATAAGAAGTGATCAACACGTGATACTCGTAAAATAAAAATTTAAAAAAAAATTTCGATCACCGATTGATAGCGTTATAACGAATGATTTGAAGTAAGAAATTTCGATGAATAGAAAGTCTCAATCAAACTGAAAAAAAAAAACCTCAATAAAAAAAAAATCTAAAGAATATAGGATCCTAATATGAAACAAGCCTACAGGAGTTAGCATCGCTTACAAAGAGTAAATTATAAATTAGTCCTTTTAGTTTTTTAAAAATAATTAAATAATTTCTCTAGTTTCAATAACTACTTAATTAGTCTCTCGTATTTTTAAATCTATTTGTAATTTAATCATTTTATTTCTTTCATTTTTTTAATAAATAGAAAAAGAAAAAAAGTAAAAAAATGAAAAGATTGATTAAAAAAAGATATCATTTTGAAATAAAATAATATTAAATTAATCATGATTAACATTGTTAAAAAACTAATTAATTGGTTTTTAAAAACAAGATAGACTATTAAATTTCTTTTGCAAAACTAGAAGGATTAATTTATAATTTAATCTGCTTATAAATAATAAATCATACAAAAACCGCATAAAATGACTATAATGATTGTAAATAATAAATGAAATAGCACGAAATTGCAGAAATATTGAATAATAGGGCAAGTATAAAAAGGTAGCTATATCAAAAATTTATATGATTTATGTTTATTTGTATAGCATTCCTTTAATATTTCATCTTGCAATTTAATTTGGTAGAGAATCTTTCTTTCCTCCTTTTTTGTGCCTCTTAACTTTTTCTTAAAAAAATTAGATGTATGTGTATGCAAGTTTATTTATTAATATGCTCCTAGTAATAAGAAAAAAGAGCAAAGGTCATGAATCAAAAGAGTAAAAGGAAAAAATTACTATGATTTGATGTTAAAATTGTCATTGTTGTTAAAAAAATTTCTATTAAAAATTGGATTAAAATGATAAATTAATCCCTTTAGTTATGAAAAAATAAATAAATTAGTCTTTATTGTTTTAAAAACTAATTATTCAGTCATTTATTTCCATTTTATGTTGTTTTTAATTTATTTTGTTTCTTTAACATATATATATATATGTTATGGAAAGAATGGTGAGCAAAGAAGGCATTTTTTAAGAATAAAATAATATTAAACTAAGTTTGGGTAATACTCGGTTAAAGAATTAAATGATTAGTTTTTTAAAAAAGAAAGACTAATTAATTCATTTTTTTTAAATTAAAGAGACTAGTTTATAATTTATTCAGCAAAATTGATACCATCAAAAGATTTGAAATTCAATTAATATTGAAAATAAGAAGTTAGGAATTAGATAGAGACTAGATAGTTGTCCACATTACGTTACTGGATCGGATACAATAGATGAAATCATTTTAAAAAATCCATTATAATTTAATAGTTTTTGCTACATTATAGATCTAATAAATATGTTGAAATCAAAGGTAAAAAAAAAAATTATTTATTTATTTTATAAGATTGTATCGAGAAAATAAAGCAACAATTCATTTTTTAAAAAAAATTGCATACAAAATTTAAGATTTAAAATAAATTTTTATAATATTGATAAGAATATTAATTTTTAAAAGTATGTAATCTGTATATTAGGTTTATGTATACTAGATTTAAAAAAAATTATCATTTTTTTAATGAAAGCATAAAAGAGTCTACGAGACTACAACTTTAGACACAAAAATAAAATCACCATATCAAATATAAATATTCAATAATAAATAATATTAGAATAAAAAACTCTATTTAAAAACTATGGTACCATCATGTATTGTTTTTAAATTTATTTGAGGAGAATTGATTTCAAAATCTTCATTTAAAAAAACCATAAATATTAAGTGTTTTTTGTGTATATGCACAATCAACTTGCAATTAAAAAAAATAATAATTTTTTTTAAAGAAAAAAAATAAGAGTGTCTCCGGACTACAACTTTAGGCACAAAAATAAAATCACCATATCATATTTATAAAATCATTTAGTTTCTCATACCTAATACAATTCTTTTCAATGCACTCTTTTTATATAAATTAGGTTATTTATATGAAAAAAATTAGCTGAAAACAACAATGAAGGAGTTCTTTGAATTGCAAAGTAAATTATAAATTAGTCTCTCTTGTTTCAAAAAATTAATTAATTAGTCTTTTTAATTTCAAAAACTAATTATTTAATTCTTTTAACTAGTGTTGACCACGGTATTTTTTCTTAATTGTAAAATATCTTTTTTTCCATCAATCTTTTCATATTTTTCATTTATTTTTATTCCTTTTCTATATGTTAAAGCAAAAAATTAAAATAAATTGAAAAATAGCAAATAAAACTAAATAATCAGTTTTGAAATCATAGAAACTAATTAATTTGTTTGTGGAAACAACATGGACTAATTTATAATTTATTCTTGAATTGCAGTTCTTTGCAAAAAATAAAGTGGAAAAAGGCAATGAATGACATGAGCATTAAATGTTCAGTTTAAAGCAACGGATTTGACAAAGAAAATGACAAAAAAAAAAAAAAAAAAAACTAAAGAAACAAATTAAAAATAAATCAGTTAAGGCCAAATATAAAATTTCATAAATTCATTAAGTGGTATGACAAAAATTAAGAGTAAAATAGAATGGCCTTTGTTTGCAAAGCAGAAAAATAACAAATAAACAATAGCAAGTAAAACCCAAAAACCAGATTAAAGGGAAAAAAAAATCATGTTATGAACAGTTAAAAGAGAAAGTTTGACTGTTTATGAACAAGTAAATATCCCATGTTTTTTAATTTTTTTTATAATTTCTTCACACGTTTTCCATTGTTATGTTATGTTAGAGACTAATATAAATTATATTCCGAGACTTCACCTATCAGTTTAAATTTTTAGGTGACATAGTCCTTTAATATGGTATCGAGCTTGATTGATCTTGTGGTTACGAGTTTAAGTCTCACCATCCTCAATTTCTCAAGTATTAAGCACAAGACAATGTTAACAACTGTAAGTTTCAAGTCCAAATATTAAAACTTTTACTTAAGGAGCTTAAATTTTTAAGTGAGTTGGTTCTTTAATATGTTATGATTAAAATTTTTAGATAAATAGTCATGTATGACGAAATAGGTCATATACTAGCTAACATAGATCTAGAAGTAAATGACTGAACATGATGGAAAGAGAATGATTTATTTGATACTGAAATCAGTTCACATCCCACCAAATCAATCTATTCTCGCATAACGAAACACGGGGAATAAGACCATGAGATTCTCTAATTATAATTAATTAGTACAAAATTAAATAAACAAATAAACAATCAATATTGCGTGAAGCATGGTGATCAGGTTGACTGGTATCAAATAAAACACGTACCTCGTTCTTTGTTTCTTCATTGATAGGGTCTTGTAATAATCACATGGCTAACGTGTTATTAGAAAGTTGGCTCAATTAGTCATTGGGCGTTCAATAAATGTCCAAACGTGGACATATATTAATTATTACCTTTAATCTTGTATGTGGTGCCACAAAAGAGCGTTGGGAAGTCTTAAACCTATAGTTTTAAATAAGATACCAGAATAGGGAAAGGTGATTATTGCTTTTTGTCGTTATAGACGGTATAATTCTAATTTATAGAAATAATAATAATAATAATAACAACAACAACGTTATATAATTATATCGATTGTTATTATTATTATTATTTTATGAATATCAATTTAAATAACGATTATTATATTATTATTTTTTTATAAAATATTTTTGACTTTTTATTTTTAAAAATCTTATTAATAATTATTAATGTACTTATAACATTGGTCGTAGGTAAGTGTAATTGCCCTATTGAAATAAGTTGTGAATTATGATTATATTTAGTAATTAAACGTGACATGACATGACGGTCTTCGTTTGAATAAGAAAGGGAAGAAGAAGAGATGATGGAGAATAGAGAGTAAGTTAGAGAACATAGAGAAGAGAAAAAAAAACAAGAGAGTACGGAGAGAATGGAGAGAAGAGAAAAAAAAAATCAAGTCTAGAATTATACGCGTCTTTTCACTAATTGTCTGACAAAAAATTCATCCTTAAATTTAGAGGGTATAAAATGAAATTTTTAAAAAGTAAAGATGTAGAGTGGCATTGCGTTTAAAATACAAGGAGTTTAACGTAATTTACTCAAATTATTTTTACCTTTGTCTTCGGTAACTAAACGTGAGGATCACCAGTGACAGCCAGATGAATCCATGACATAGATAATAGATTACTGAAATGACAGAAAGCAAGACAGAAACAGTGAAGAATGAGATGTAATGATGGTTGGTTGATAATATAAGTAATTAGGAAAGCATAGCAGGTTCGAAAATGAATTCTTACACATGGAACCAAAGGGCCCGCAGTACTGAAGCATGAAAGATTTCACACGTTGGGACAACTACCAGCTGCACCACACAGCTAGCTTCATCATTGAAAAAAGGTCAAATCGTTAAACTGTGTGATCACACAGCGTCTTCCTTGCACGAAGAAAAAGATGATGGGCTTCTTTACTTTTTAATTTTCTAAACAATTATTAATGTGCTAATCGTGAACAGGATTCCTGTGTTCCCTTTTTAAATGATCAGAACTCTATGAGCATTATGTACGTAAAAACAAGCAGTTGCTAGCTGAAATTCTTGGCTCTAAAGACAGCAGCAGAAGCTTGAGTTTGCGATTAGAAAAATCATAACTTGTCAGGAAAGGTACAATGGGGTTTCTTGATCTCTTTGTGGTGGCATTAATGCCAGTTCTGAAAGTGCTCTTGATTACTGGACTTGGTTTGTTCCTAGCACTCGATCGCATAGATCTCTTGGGAGAAAATGCAAGACACTATGTGAACAATGTGAGTTCAAAACATGTATTTACAGGATTCTGTTCCTTGCATTTAACTTCTCTTGCCTTGCAGATCTCATCAAAACAGAAAATTTGCTTTGTGTATGTGCAGCTTGTATTCTATCTGTTTAGTCCAGCTCTCGTGGTTAGCCAGCTTGGAGAAACAATTACTTTCCAAAGTTTGCGTTCCTTGTGAGTGATATTACTACGATTCCTACCAATTTTTACTCTTTTTTGACTAACTATATTGGCAAAAAACTTTTATGTGGTGATGATGCAGGTGGTTTATGCCAGTAAATATCCTTCTGACATTCATAATTGGCTCTATACTTGCCTGGATTCTCATTAAAATCACCAAAACTCCGCCGCATCTGCAAGGTCTTGTCATCGGTTGCTGTTCTGCTGGAAATTTAGGGAACTTGCTTCTTATTATTGTTCCTGCAGTGTGCGAGGAGTCAAATAGCCCATTTGGAGATTCAACTGTCTGCTCTACTTATGGAACAACTTATGCTTCTCTTTCTATGGCGGTACGATCTGGCATTCCAATGCTCATATCATTTTGTTGCAAAAGGAATTTATATTCATTTTTTGCTATTATTTATTGTGATTCTGCAGGTTGGAGCTGTTTATATATGGACCTATGTGTATATTATCATGCGGATATATGCTGATAAGGGTGCTGATTCTGAAGATACTGATATAAATGAATCCATAACAGATTCTGAGAGTTACAAAGAAGCATTACTTCCTTCAAGCAAAAACTCTGGCTCCAGAGCCTATTCTGATGAAGATGAACTTCCTCGAACTATCTCTGGGGGAAAAGTGAGATTTTCCTTGGCCTTCTTTTATTATTACAAACGCTGTTTTTTTTTTAATGGAAAAGTAGCTCTTCCTTTGCAGCAGGTGGATGGGATAACCTTGCTAATTAAATTATTCTGATGACAGTTGAAAATTAAGGAGAAGATTCTTCAGTCTGTTAAGAAATTTACAGCGAAGATCAACCTGAAGATGGTGTTTGCACCGGCTACAATCGCAGCGGTAGGCTACAAATGCATACTACAATCTTTCAGATCATGTGTTTTTATTGTTTAGTGAAGAGGGCATTCTTTTTCAAAGCCTTCATTGTTAAATCTTCAATAGAGATAATCACAAACCATACAAGTCTTGATGGTAAATCCAAAAATTAAAGAAAAAGCAGAAGAAAATTTTTGTTGAGTTGGTCAGTGCCTAATCTACAATGTACATGTCATTAATTTGCTCCATTTTCTTAAATTTCTTTCAGATATGTGGGTTCATAATCGGCACAGTCTCTCCAATCCGAAAGCTGATGATCGGCGACAGTGCTCCTCTTCGCGTGATTGATAGTTCTGCATCTTTGCTGGGGTGATAAATCAATTATGGACTTTGTTTTTCTTTTGATGATCGCAAGTCTCCGTTTGGCTTTCTCCATTACTTAGGAACTTGCAGTAACATTCTTATTGATCTTGCTTAAATAATTCTGTAACCTGCAGAGAGACAACAATTCCATGCATGACCCTGATAGTAGGATCCAACCTTCTTAGAGGTAATTTCCTGAATATACCTTGATTGTCTCATTCTTAGTCTCCTTGACATTCTATCCTGATTCTAGTTGCTGAAAAATCGGATTTGCATTCTCTAAGATTTCTAATCACCTTTCAGGTTTAAGAAAATCAGAAGTAAGCGCATCAGTCATTGCAGGGATTGTAGCAGTGAGAAATATTTTCTTGCCAATAATTGGCATTGGTGTTGTCAAAGCAGCACACCATTTTGGCATGGTTGAATCAGACTCTTTGTATCAGTTTATTCTTTTGCTTCAATTTGCACTTCCACCTGCAATGACCATAGGTATGACAACTTGGATAATAAAAGTTGAAACTAATGCAGTAATTTTATTTTATTTTTTCCTGTTTTAAGTTCCACGGCAAGAGGGTGATATAATATTTGACTTTTGATTATGAAATGGTTACGAATTCGAATAACTTGAGATGGTTTTTGGATGGAGGTAGGGATGACAATTTGTCTCGTCCCGACGGAGCCCCGTCCTGCCCTGTCTTGATTTTCTTTTATTAACGTAGGGATTCCTTGCATTGATCGAGGAACGGGACGAGGATGGTGTTTGCCTGCCTCGTCCTGTTTGCCCCTAATTTATTTTTATTAAAATTATAATTATACCCTATATAAAATATTTAATTAATGATTTTCATAGTTTATTTTCTATATATATATATATATATATATATATATTTTTGTTATAATTTGAAATTTGATAATAGAATGAGATTAAATGAGATGAAATTTTTTTATGATAATTTTTATCTTATTTGCCCCCTCAGTACCCCCGTGAGGATTCCTATCCTCGTTTGAGGACGGGATGATATAAAATATTTTATTCCGTTCGAGGTATGGGCCGAGAATGAGGCAAAATTTTTTAGGGTCTCTGCCTCGCCTCATCCCATTGCTATCCCTAGACGGAGGTATCGTCGCTACTTGATGAATAAATAATTTTTCTAATCTGTTTGTTATTTATTGTTAATTTGACAGGGATTATTGCACAGCTTTTCGGGGCTGGAGAAGGTGAATGTTCAGTCATTATGCTGTGGAGCTATGTTGTGTCTGCATTGTCTCTTACCTTTTGGTCAACCTTCTACATGTGGCTGTTGCAGTAAAGAAAATGAGGCCACCGTTAATTAGTAGTAATTTAAGCTAATGAAGCTGTGGTCCATAGGCATTACCTTAATATTATTTTTAGTTATAGCCACCATGCTATTTTTTATTTGATTATTAAAATATATGGCGTCATTCATTTGGGATATGAATATCTGTGTGTTTATTCCGAATTGTGATTCTATATATATATATATTTTTTTGTTTGTTCAAAAAGCTGAAAGATAGATAGATTATTTTATATTTTTCAATAAAAAAAAATTATGAATCACATCAATCTTTTATCTATCTGAAAAGACTCCCATTAAATGTCTATTGGAACCAAAATTTAGGATTTTTTTTCATAAATAGCTACAATGATATATGAAAATATAAATATGCCATCACTTACAAATTGCCAAAATTGCCATAGATGAAATTTAAATTTTCAATCTCATAAATAAATGTTATACGAAAAGTTTACTTATTGTTATATCGAACTGAAACCGAAATATTACGCATCACATCCTTTTTTTTATTCGAAAATAATTTCATTAAATTTATATTAGGACCGAAATTTAGATTTTTTTCACAAATAACTAAAATTATTTATAAAAATATGGATATGCCACTAATTACAAACTCGACAGATGAAATTCAAACTTTCAATCTCGTAATAAACATTATACAAGAAGTTCACTTACTGTTATATCAAACTGCTGTTAGCAATTATGATACTATTTTTCTGCCGTTGGAGAATATTTTACATATACAATTTTTTATTGGCATGGATGGTATAGGACGACGTGCCGTCTAACAATCTTGAAATAGCCGACGGTCGTCTGAAAGCTCTGCTGCTGACAACCTTGGGCGTTTGTAAAGATATTGTTCGTCTTTCCCCCACCCAACCCAGCCCATTTTCCATGGCCCGATTTGAACCTCTAAATCGCTACAAATCCATTTCCGCAAGACTTGAAACCTCTTTTAAACTTCCAAAAAACATAAGAAATTCCAGATGATACACCGAATTTCCCGATTTTTTTTCTATATGAGTTAGGAAATCAGAACATTTTCCATTTTTGTTTTTAATTTTAATTTTTGTTTCTTTTTTACTCTCTTAATTTATAGTTTATTTATGTCTTTTCATTTTATTAAATGAAACTTAATTTTAATTTTAATTTACCTATATTTTTTTTAAAATGAAACTTTACTACCATTTGGTAGATAATAAAAAATTCTACATATATCCGACACAATGTTTTTCTATTTAAGAAATAAATAAATAAATATGATTTTATACTAACATGTTGTTAGCCTAGTAATAAACGAGCTAGTTTTAAGATAAATTTTTTTATCAATGTGTAATGTTTAAATTTTAAAATTGTATTTGTTAAAAGATGTTAAACTTAGTTGTTTTTATTTCAAACATAATTAATTATATTTTCAGTATAGAACTGAGATAATTGAGGAAAAACCAAAAATAAATAATTATGATTTTATTTTTTTGACAACCATAAGCTTGTGTAATATGTTTTTTTTTTTACTAATTGCATGACTAACGTGCCCTAAAAGGTTGACTTTGCATTTTTTTAACACTGTTTGGACGTGGAAGAAAAATTTTATTAACAGCAACTCATCTCCTTCATGAATTGGATCCAAATCCTGTGAATCCACGGTACTATATATTATTTTATTTCCAGTCTAATTTTGGTTACCTTAAACTATTTATAGATTGTTCGTACAAAATAGGTTGTTAAAATATTTTGAAAAAAATTTAATATTAATTAACGTATAAATTAGTTTGAGGACCAACCATAAATAATTAAACAACTACCAGCTGCAACATATAGCTAGCATTTTCGTGGAAAAAATCATTACTATTATAAATTAATATGTGTGAACATAATAATGTCTTATGAGCTATGATCATGTGACCTCCTTTTTATTTTTTACTTTTCAAAATAAAGGTTTCCCACGTAGCTAGCAAATCATGACTAGGATGTCTTGATCTGTTTATTGTGGCATCATGCGATACACAAAAAAAATTATTTAACCTCGGTTTTGATACTGTAATAACTCAAATTTACCTTTATTTTATTTTATTATTTTTATTTTATTTTATTTTTTATTATTCTTATTATTTTATTTTTTTTATTTCATGTATGTTTTGTTTTATTTCAATTGAAGTTTACCCAAAAAAAAAAGAAAATGATAAAAAAACACAAAAAAAACATTCATCCAGGGGCACAATTGCAATTAAAGAAAGATTAATTGAAGTAATTAGGGGTATAATTGAACCAATTGAAAAATTTAGAACCTAAATTGCTTCTTACGGGGATCCAATTACCAAGATTGCACTTTATAAAGACTGAAATTGTACCATCGAAGGGCGTGATCGTTGGACTTGAAATGCATGAGGACCAAGCTGGAAGTTTGGAGCAAACGACAGGACCGAAATGGAGAAGACGACACTGTCGTCCACTCCAATGCCCGAAAATCTTTGGGAGAATTTACCCAAATCCTCTACAAATTTCTTATTTTGATTGTGCATTAATCATGGATTCGTTGTCAAAATCAACACTAACAAGAAGCAATGATTAAATTTTCCGTTTTGATTTCACATTAATCATGAATTAAAGAGAAAATATTTTGACGGAAAAATTTGAGATTTAGATTCGATTCTAGGGAGTTTTTGGCTATAAAACGAGTTTAATTTCGCGAGAGAAAGAGAGAAAAAAAATTAGAGAAGAATACTTGGGTTGAGAGAGATTGAAAATCGAAAGCAAAAGGCTTAATTTTTTTTTTGATTTTTTAGTCATTGCTTTTTCTAGGTTTCGGGTTGGGTTCTTTGTGTTCTTGGGGCCCGGGTTTGGTTCACATCTATCGGTCCCCTTTATGTCTTTATTTTGTGTTTCCCGAGGCTAAATCTTCACCTTCACAACTTCCTCCATCTCTTCGTTTGAAATTCGGGATTCCTTTCTTTCATTTTCATTTTTTGTTCTTCACGATTCTAGGTAGTATTGTTTTTGTCCTTATTTTTCAGGGAATTTTGTTCTTCTTCTTTGGGTTGGTGTTCATCCTTCTCTGGTTCGATTGAAGAGCATTTGAGTTTGTTTTGAGGGAGATTATCATTGTTTTGGTGAATTAAAATAGGAATCAAAGATCAAAAGTCGAAGAAACCATGAGAAATCACCGCTGGGGTTTCGTCGGTCTTGGGTTTTTTCGAGTTTTCTAGGTTTGTTCTTGGTGTTCTTCGGACATTTTCTAGGTCAGCCCTCGGATTCGATTCCCAATTTTTGATTTCGTTGTTCGCTTTAATTTTAGATGTTTGCTTGCTATTTATTTTCCGCCTTGAATTGTGGTGTGTCCGATTGAGTTTGTTGCTTGAAAGGGGTCTTTAATTTCTGGAAAGCTTGAAGAACTAGAGAAAGAAATTGAAGAATGAACTAAGAACAAGAGAGAGAGAGAGAGGGTTGGGGAGCCATTTGATCCATTTTCGCTTAAATTTCCTTACCCGAGCTCGTTTCCGGGCTTAAGCCCGGCGAATTAAGAAAAGAAAAGAAAATACGTGTGGGATGGATCGGAATGCGGTCTAGTCCGTGCCTCTCACCCCAAAATTTAAAAAGGGGGCTGGACTGAAATTCATTCCAGCCCATGTTCCTCATCCCAAATAAAAAAAAAAAAAAAAGGGAGGGGGGACGAGTCTAGCCCGTAGCCCATCCTTCAAAAACCCAAAAACAAAAAGAATAAAACGAGAAGGTCTGGTTCCATTTTAGCCTTCTCTAAAAAAAAAAAAAATGAAGAAAAGGGGTAATAAAAAAAAGAATTATGAAAGAAAAAAATAAAAAAGAAAAGGAAAAAGGGATGGGTAGAAAAATAAGTTGTGGGTTAATAGTTTAGATATAGGATAAATTTTTTTTTATCTATCTATCTATCGTGTTTTATTTATTTATTTTTTTAGCTTGTTTATTCCTTGTCTTTTTCTTTCTTTCTTTTCTTATATTAATTTAGAATTGTTACTTCAATTGTTTTTTTTGTATTGTAAAAAAAAATTATTATAAAAATCTTGACGAAGTCTCCTATCTTATAGGGATCGACGTCACACAAAAAAAAATGCCTAAAAATTTTGACGAAGCCTCTTACATGATAAGAACCGACACCATAAAAAAAAATAATAAATTTGACAAATTCTCCTATCTAATAGGGATTGATGTCACCAAAAAGAATATTCAAAATTTTCGACAAAGTCTCCTATTTGATAGGGACCGATGTCACAAAAAATTACCTTTTAATTAAGATGTCCTCCGACATGTCGGTTGTGTCAAGGTTTTTAGTGGATCCGATGTTTGAACCGTCGTGTCACTCGACGAAGGGGATCGACGATCGTTTCAATATGATGCCAAGCCCAAACTAAGAAAAATTAATTTAGCTTTTAAAAAATAGGAGTTTAAAAATTAGAAAATAGTTTGACATGGATTTTTAGGAGATGAATTTAAAACTAAACCATATATGGTATCTTTTTCGAAAAGGGCACTTTAGGTGATTAAATATCTTATTAAAAGCGTAACCAACTCCTTACCTTAGGAATCTCCGAATCGGTGCTACTTTTAGGTTCCTAGTTCCTTAAATACTAGGTGACGACTCTAAAACTACGTAAATAATTTTATAAATAATTAACCCTCTAGATTTAATTTCTTTGGGGAGTCCCATCCGACGTCATGTAGCGACAAATACCAATTAATGTATGGTATTAAGTCATCTTAATTCTAAAAATTAATCCAAAAAGTTAATTTTTTTCATATATATATATATATATATATATAATCAAACACTCAACCGATGTAGAATAATCTAACATAATTAATGTGAGTTCGAGTACAAGTATTTACAAGATTAGGTGCTTTAAATTAATTACTTTTTCTTGTTTTCCATCACATTAGAACAAGACATTTGCTTTGTGTATTTACGACTTGTATTTTATCTCGTTTGGTCCATCGCTTGTGCTTAGAGATGGTACTAAGTT